CCCCCCTTTTTTTAAAACCAACCTTTTAAAAAAAAAAAAAAAAAAAAAAAAAAAACATTTATAAGAAGACACCTGCTAGTTGCCACTAGCTTGTTAATGGCTTTTACAACGCCCTACCAGCCCCTCTCCTCTGCATAATATACACATAATATATTGTATATTGTATATATATGTATATAAACTTAACAAAAGGATCATATTTTCATGTAACATGTAAAAGTGAGACACGTAATATTCTATTTATTCAACTTTAATCACTCAACACTACTGTTACCTCAAAACGTCATTGTTATTTTAAATAAATATCATATATTATACTCATCACTTTTTACATATTACGTAAAACTGTCTTTTTAACAAGTATTCTTTTCATATACATAATATAGTACTTTAATAACATTAAAGATTAAATTTATGTACAATAAAAAACGAGACTATATTTTGGCATTAATTCGTATCACCAAAAAATAGTCACATTAATTAGTGAACAAATTTTTCGCTAGCCTATTATTACTTTTGTTTTAAAGCGTGAGTTTAACCCCCTAAACCCTCATTATTGTTGTTGAGTGGTTGTGAGGCACTAATACTAGCATTAAGATGAATATTAATGAGTAATTAAAAGATGCAGATCCGAGCTTTAATTAATGATTTGTGGGCCACAACTTTTCATTTAGTTTATTATTTTCCTTTCCTTTTTTTCAAATGAGAAATGATAGACCAGCACTTGTATTGAGGCTAATATATAGGTTGAGTGGCATATGGACCGATCAAAATTATGTCTAAAGGCAAAATATTGAGTTTGGACCATACCCTAAAGGACATAGTATATGACATTTGTAATTCACGTATATGAATAGTCAAATGTTGACTATAACATATTCTATGGCACTCCAGAGTCTATTATATGATAAACGACTATCTTCTGAACTCATCGAGTCATTTTCGTCGGTGTGGAGCTTAACGCTCGATAAAGTCATCAAACTAAAACGGTTGACCTAGGAGGAGAACTAAATTGAGGTCCACAACTGCGTTTTTGCATAGAGTTGGAATGAGATTTACTATCGAGCTAGAATGAAAACTCAACTAAGATAAAAAAAAAAATGTTTTGGCGCACCATTAGTACTGTTTGAGTGGTTCACAACGTGTACCATGAACGAACGTTAGTTCAGTAGGAGGGAGAGAGTCGTCGTCCAGAAACCGAGAGAGAGCCCTCTCGTAAGGGAGTGATCGACTGACCCAATTATTGCCCGTTTGGTTCATAGATTAGTACCATAAGATTAGAACTATTTTCGATTTACGTGAGTTTTTGTGAGAGAAAATATTGTAACAAACCATGAACCATGATTCGAATCAGATAACGAATCCTCCAACTAAACGGGCTCAGTAGATGGAAAGGAGGAGGTTCGGGAGAAATGAAATCTTTCTCACCACTACTAATAAAAGGTGAACACTGGTGCGCTCCATATTGTGAGAATCATATTATATTAGTAGTGATGCTCAGCATCACCAATGCTTTATAGCATTATTCAACTCAAATCGATGGCCTAGTTGAAGAGAGAGGTCATAGCCTATCCCTCTATCGTGAGTTTCTAAAGACGATAGGATGATTAAAATCCTCATGTACGAATTTCACCTTGATTGCAATGGGTTTGAAGCCTAATTCATAGTCGAACTGGAAGAGTTGAACATGAATATTAGATGATTGCTTAAATTTCCTAAACGAAGTGAATCTAATGATAACTCCGATATCAGCTTAATCAATGATAATTACAGGTTAGGAATATTTCTACAATATTTATATATTTGTTTTTATCTCATTGGGGGTTATAGATAAGCCTATTTTGGTCACGTAAAAACCATAAGTCATTGAAATCCATATCTAGCGTTTAAGCTATCTCTCTGTAACTTTTTGTGATGAAGCAAAAGGCTTTACAATTATCATTGTAGACGTATCCCTTTATATTGAGATTGTTATACTTTAAATTTATTGTGTTCTTTAGTATTATGCATTTATAATTATTGTTTATATCCAATATATTGACTTTGGTGAAGGGGTTAGATATCAATTCATCTCAAAAACTTAAACTTATATCAGGTTGTTAACAAAATTTTTATTATGTTTCAAACACTTCCCTTCACGTGTAAATTTAGACGAAACAATACAAATACAAGGAAGACAATAAACCCGCATATGATAAGTTATGAAATTATAATTATGTGAATTTAAATATACGATCATCTGTTCTAAAATCATGTTAGTTATCGATTCATTCTAAGAACTTAAATTGGAAGGAGGCAGGCTGACAACAAAAGTATTATAATCCGACATAACCCAAGTTCACATGATCATATACCGTTCCTAAACTTTACCGTTCCCAAGCTAACAACAAAAGTATTGATGCTTAAATTTGCACTAAACTTTACCGTAAAAAAAGGTACTAAAATTGCATATGGCAATTAAAGCGACGAACAAGTTGATGGGTGAAAAATCACCATCACGTCCTTTATAGCAATATATATATATATATATATCGATTTCTTTAATACAAGGACAAAAAAAAAAAAAAAAAAAAAAAAAAAAAAAAAAAGAACTACTGACATATATATGTATAATTCTACTTCAAATTTGCTTAATTATTATTACTTTAAAAAAATACCATAGACAAAGGATATAATTTTTATTCAAGTTTGTTCATTTTAGTATATATTTTTTATCTGATTATTCAATGATCAGATTTAGAATCATGTTTTGTTTAGTTTCTTTAAATCCTACCACAAACACGCGTGAGAGAAACTGAAGGGAACAAAAAGATTACCGCCATCACATAATGGTCTTTATGATGGGGATAGTCATGAAGTTCGTACAAGTAATCACGTGATACGAATCACAGTCACGTGACCGGACTATCAACAAATTATTAGGTGTTCTTTTTTTATTTTCCAAATAAAATCAGGACTTTTTTCTGATGGCCTCTGTAAAATAGATTATATGTAGTCATTTATTTTTCAACCAGTAAATTTGTATCAAAATCTATTTATTTTATATAATTTTTTAATTTGATGT